TGGAGGGAGTGAATGTTTGTGGCTGCAGAGCCAGTCAAGTGGGTTACTTTCTCCTGATAGTGTTAAGTTTCTTGAGTGTTATTGGAGTTGCACACATCCAGGCAAGTGAGGAATATTCCATCACACTCCTGACTCGTGTTTTGTAGATAGTGGACAGGCTTTCGGGAGTCGGGGGTGGGGGGGAGTCACTATCTTGAGGAATCCAAAATTAATGTTGTTGGCAATCTTGGACATTGCTCAGACTGAAGCAACTGTGTGTGTAACATTCTGACATTGTACAGAAGAATCTTCCCATGTTATTCCCAGGACTTCAGATTGCATTTTCATCATTGGCACCATTCTGGGCTTTGCTGTCTTGATCTGCATTGTTCTGCTTACATTTTACCTTCAGAAACAAAAGTTGTGCTCAGCAGTAAAGAACTACACACAAGGGTAAATCCCATTTCAGCTTTGGTTTGATTCTGTCCCTGCACAGTTATTGTTTGAAGACCAGAACACTGTGTATGCAGCAGTAAATGATAAGCAAACTAATTCAATAATTATCACAACAATTGGCAGGAATTACTCTCTGTTAGTCTGTTATATTAATGCTGTGATTGATAAGCTTATTGTTAGAGCAATTCATTTATCTGATTAACCCAATATATCAGAATTGTCAGTCACTGAGACATATTCACAAATGTTTTTTTTAACAGTGAAACTTAAGTTTATTCCATCAAAACAACATGTTGTGTCTGTACTACATTGAGAAGAACTTTAACACATGAATTAATACATTATTTCACCTACATTCCCATCACTATCCATAACAGAGACATAAGTTTAGAGATATATAATAGTTCAATATCAACTGTTTCATTTTCCAATGAACAGACTCCTGCTCATTTCTTTGTCTCAAACTGTCAAAACAATTCAATGATTTTTCTCTGAATTCAATTGCATGAAGCTATCATTGTTCTGATGGCTCAACTTCTTCACTTTGAACAACCTGAAGATTTCTGTCCCAAACTGTCCTTGCTTCAAAAAATTTACAAATGGAAAAACATTGCTGCAGTGGTGAGTAGTTTATTCTGCATTGAGAACTTCTGCTGAGAGAGAAACAAAAATTTAATTATGAATTTTATTCTTGATTGTTTTCGATTTCATGTGAGGACTTTTTTGACCTGAACCCAAAACAAAGTTTAAAGCATCATGTATTTATACAGCCTGTCATAAACCCAGAAGTAAAAGCACTTATTTCTGTAACACTCCTGACGTACTCCCAATTCCCTGATGGTAGTCACAGGTCTTCTTGGAACAACTGCATTGATTCACTGTTCCAGAACGACTTTCTGGCCTTTTAAAAGAATCTCCACAGCATGAACGCATATTCAAATGTGTCTCTTTTTAATTCATTCCAAATTTCAAAAATGATATATTTTACACACCATCAATCACAAAAAAAAAGGTAGAGTGGAGATAAGGAGAAATATTTTCACTGGAGAGAGTTGTTGAGATCTGGAACACTTGACCTGAAAAGATGTTTGAAGCTGATTTCATAAGGAATTTGAAGATGGGTTTGAACAGGTATTTGAGGATGAGGGACATGGAGGGTTGTTGATAAAGAGCAGGGCTGTGGAGTTAAGCACAATGGCTCTTTCAAAGATCTAATATGGCTGTGATCGGCCAATGGCGCTCTCTCTGTACTGAGTTTGTTTGATTGACATGATGAACATTCTAAGGAAGAGCGGTGCCCAGCATTCCCATCAGCTGCCTTCCTGTAAAACTGTAAAACAGTGACTCTGTCATTTTTCCCTCACCACCATCTTTCCCAGTTTAAAGGGCTCAATCATGATTTGGCTCCATTCTGAATTGGTCTCATTGTATTTTCTTTCAGATCGAACACAGAACAGAGACCAAACAATGGTTCCTCCTGTTGAGGCAAGGAAATGGGACACGGCTGTTGGTTTTTGCTGCATTTTTTCACACAAGGACTTTGAGAAACAGGAGCCACATCCAGGAGGAACTTCAGTATCACCAGAACAATTACAAATCAAAATTTGTAACACACAAAAAGTCTCTGTTCCACAACAGGCTATGACTGAAAATCAAAGAGAAATCAATCAATTCCTTCTGTTTCATCCAGACCCTCCCAGATCCTGAGATTACTGGGCACTCAGATCCACCCAGACCCTGTAATTGCTGGGCACTCAGACCTTCCCAGACCCTGAGATTACTGAACACTCAGACCCTCCCAGACCCTAAAATTACTGGTATTCAGACCCTCCCAGACCCTGAGATTACTGGGCCTTCAGACCCTCCCAGACCCTGAGATTACTGGGTATTCAGACCCTCCAAAATCCTGAGATTACTGGGCACACAGACAGTGCAGAAGCTCAACATGGGGGTGTAAAGTGCAGGAGGCAGTTCAGTCTCTCACTGAGATTATGTGGAGCACACTGCCCTCTGCGGCTATCTCTAGCATTGTGCAGAAAAACATCGGGGGTATTGCGGGAACATCTTGAATTCCGAGTTCCCTCTAGGTCCCAACCCATCCTGATTTGGAATCTCAGCATTTCATTCCTCAGCATTGTGTCTGGTTATTGGAATTCCCCAGTTAACAGCCAGCACTGAGTCAATGGATAACCCTGGGCAGAGCTGAGCTTAAACAGGATGGGGTAAGTCATGCCTTAAATTGGATACATTCATTGTTGGGAAAAATCATGATTAACAGTTTGATCATTAAAGTTAGAACATCCTCCAGAATATTGCCTGGGTCTCCGGTCTCGTTGTCACACAATAATTCCACTTGGCTATTGCCTGCCTTCAGTGTGATTGGTTCTGTTTCTGTTTACATTGATGCTTTAATCTTGCCTGGTCATCCAGTTTGGGTTGGTTTTATATTGCCAGTCATTTCTGAATTGTTGCCCTCATTTTTTCTGCACAGAAATATAGGAGGAGGAATGGATCATTCCTTCTTTCTTCCCTCTTAACCCTGTTACCCTTTCTTTGGTCTTTCAATTCTTACCCCTCCATGATTACGCCCTCACCGTTTCCCTTCCCTCCATGTACTCCCTCCCTCCTTTTGAACTCCCACCGCCACTGTCCTCAATGTTTTCTTCACAAGTCATGTCTCACTGTGGGTTTAATGGCTGACCATCCTATGGTCTAAATGGACGGGGGACAATCTCATTTCAGACCCTCACAATGTATTCCACTCACCCTGGCTCTTCCCTCTCGCTTCCGCAACCAGCTCCCTCTTCAACGTTGCTTTTCCAGAACTTTCATTGGTCCAGTAACGTGGACACAAAACCTGAGCCTGATTGGTGAAATCTCGGGATCTCCTGGGACAAGTCCTTGGGATCTCATAGGGATCCAGTCAACGACGGAGAGAGGTACACCGGATTGGGTCAGTACACACGTTGATGAAGCAGCTCATTGGCTTCACTGTGACGCTCAGGAATGTTGGACCAGGCTGGGGGACTGGGGAGTTCAAGGACCAGGGTTTCCCCTGCCCTGGCCTTGTTTTATGAACCTTCCCACTTCTGATCCAGTTGCCAATGGCCTGGAAAATTCTAGGCCTTTGGGAGTGTAAATGGATGTGATGTGCTCTTGTGTAGCTCAGGCCTGGAGTGGGTCTTGATGCTGCTGGCTCAGGGACCACAGCTGGAACACAGAGCTCTCCGCTTTCTGTTCCAGCACACTCACATCGAACCTGATCCCAGCAGCTACTTCCCTCCAGAATGACACAAACTTGGCAAGAGAGTGGAAGTTAAACTGCAGGCAGCTGCCTCAGACAAGGTGTACAACTGAACGAGGAGGGGAATTGGAGCCTGTGACCGCAGACTATTTGACAGCTCACCACAAGAGGAAGGATTTGATGCCATGACTGTGGCTGCAGTTCAGTCTCCACAACTGCTCTGAAACATTTAGCCCCGTATCCACTTTCAGGGACAATTCTCTGACACTGAGCTGATGGTGAACAGTAAATGCAGATCAGTAAATCATCAGCTGCATGAGGATACAGCTCCCTTCAACCAGATAACTGCCTGACAATCCTTTATGTTCTTTACACGCTGCAAACGTATCATTGACCAAGAACGTCAGTCAATTCTGAGTTGCTGATGGTCCTGTGTTAACATCAAGATCTCTTGGGTCAATCCTCTCAGGGAGCTTCCTGGAATGTGCGCCAAAGCCGTCATGACTGCCCCTTGTATTGGTCCACACAGTAACATTCATTTGGCAAACTTTGAGTCAGACTTGATGAGACCTGGTAAACAGTTCAACCTGAGTCCCACCACTGGTGAGTCTGGCTCTGTCCTCCCATGCATGCACCTTCCACGATGTATCAGTGGATAAATAAAGGAAATTAAAGAGAATTCAGGATGATGAAAGATCATTTAGGGGAATGAAAACAGGAACTGTTAATATTGTGGTTGAGGACACTTTGAGCAATATAGCACAGAGATTGAAACTGAAAGCCTCTGTTGATATCACTCGAAACCAGAACAACACGCAGTGCACCTTAAAAAGGAACATATTCTGAAATGTCTGTGTGAGTGTCATGGTGGGTTTCAATTCATCGAAACAGGTTTGTGTGGTGTTTCCCTCCGCAGGATAAAGGGAGATGGGAATCGGGGAGAGCTAGCTGTTAGCTGGAGCGGACTTCAGTTCAGCCACATTTGGAATGTTGCGTATAGTTCTGGTCTCCACACTACCAGAAGGATGTGGAGGCTTTGGAGGTGCAGGGCCTCAATTTCAGTTTCACAAACACAGAGAGTATTTAAACGGACTGGATTGGGTATGGATTAGAATTAGAATCCCTACAGTGTGGAAACAGGCCCTTCGGCCCAACAAGTCCACACCGAACCTCAGAGCATCCCACCCAGATCCATCCCCCAATGACCCATCACCTCCCTGAACACTACGGGCAATTTAGCATGACCAATCCGCCTAACCTGCACATCTTTGGACTGTGGGAGGAAACCGGAGCACCCGGAGAAAACCCACACAGACACGGGGAGAATGTGCAAACTCCACACAGACAGTCGCCCGAGGCTGGAATCGAACCCAGGTCCCTGGCGCTGTGAGGCAGCAGTGCTAACCACTGTGCCACCATGTCGCCCGATGTCTGTGCTTGTATTGTCTCACTCTGCAAATAAATGTAACACTGAGTAAAGGTTCACTCCAGTTTCTTCTTTCACCAATGGGAGAATTTCAGAAACTGACCAATGGGGTTTATTGGATTTCTGAATCGAGGAGTTAGTATTGGCACAATGGGCCAAAGGGCCTCATTCTGTACTGTATTGCTTGATGGTTAAACATGTTCTTTCTGTCTGAGGCAGTTTCCTGCCTCATTCTCACTTTTCTTCACTTCATCATTTGACTTCTCACTCCAGGGAGGGAGAGCATGGGGCACAGGTTTCACTCTAAACTTGAGCATTTTAGTCAAACTGCGATTGGAGTCCCAGATAACAGTGTGGAGCTGGAGGAACACAGCAGACCAGGCCGCATCAGAGGAGCAGGAAAGTTGATGTTTCGGGTCGGGACCCTTCTTCAGAAATGGGGGAGGGGAAGGGAGCTCAGAAATAAATAGAGAGGAGGGGTGGGGATGATGAAGGTAGGTGGGATGGTGATAGGTGAGTGCAGGTAGGAAGTGGTGGAGATTGGTCAGTGAGGTGGGAGAAGCGGATAGGTGGGTGAGAAGCAGACAGGTCAAGGAGACAGGGATGAGAGGGAGGGTTGGTCTTGGGATGATGCCGTTGAGATTTTGAAACTTTTAAAGTCCACATTTAGGCAATTGGGCTGTAGGTTCCCAAGGCGGAATATGAGGTGCTGCTCCTCCAGTTTCCGGGTGGCGTCAAATGTGACACTGCAGGAGGCCCAGGATGGACATGTCACCCAGGGAGTGGAAGTGGGAGTTAAAATGGTTTGCAACTGGAAGGTGTTGTCGTTTGTCCCGAACAGAGCACAGGTGATCTACAAAGTGGTCTCTGAGCCTCCGCTTGGACTCACCAACGTTGAGGAGGTCGCACCGAAAGCAGCGGATGCAATACGCCACATTAGTGGATGTGCAGGTAAACCTCTGTCTGATGTGAAAGGTTTGTTTGCTGCCTTGAATGGAGGTGAGGGGGGAGGTGTAGGGGCAGGTGTAGCACTTCCTGCAGTTGCAGGGAAAGATGCCACAGGTGGTGGGACTAATGGGGAGTATGGAGTGGACGAGCGAGTCACAGAGACCATGGTCGCTATGGAAAGTACATGGGGCGGGGACGCGTCCTTAACCTGACACAACCTGTCCATCTTCTCTCCACCTATCCGCCCCTCCACGTCACCAACCAATCCCACCACTCCTTACCTGCACTCACCTATCACCATCCCACGTACCTTCCCCAGCCCCATCCCTCCTCTCACTATTAATTTCCCAGCTTCCTTCCCCCTCCCCTATTTCTGAAGAAGGGTCCTGACCTGAAACATCTACTTTCCTACTCCTCTGATGCTCCCTGGCCTGTGTGTTCCTCCAGCTCCACACTGTGTTATCTCTGACTCTAGCATCAGCAGTTCTTACTATCTCTGGGATTGGAATGCCAGCTGGCCGGGGAGCGGTAGCGGGGAGAGGCTGGGGGAGGAGGGACAACAGACAAAGGGTCATCAGGGGGCATGTGCAAATGGGCACATAGGATTTCCAAAGCAAGTATACCATGACCCATCCTTTGTGAGGGGCTAGGAGAGAAGGGAATGGGCAGAACGTCCACTTTATTTACAGTATCTCACCCAACTTTAAATACAATGCGGTGACAGGGTGTTGTAAAACACGCACCTCGGAAAAGAGGCACATTTGAAATAATTGGATGTTATAAAGGGTTAACGTGTGGACAGAAAATTCCAGAAACACTCAGATAAAAAGTGGTGAATATGCTAATTCGAGGGGACGCTGTCATTGTTTCCCCAAAGCCTGACCAAGAAAGCCTTTAGCAGCATGTTCAATCAGAGGAGGGACTGGTTCAGGGTCATTGAGTGACCTTCCCTTTGACTTGTGTTTTTTAATCTGTCCTTGAAATTGCTGATGTCGGTCTGATCAAACCTGCCTCATTGCAGTTAAATAAATTACACACGGTGTTTGGAGACGGTTTAAAATAAAGTCAATCCAAAATATTCTTTATGTAGCAAAGAGAGACATTTATATCCAGTCTGTACATGGATAAGTAATAAAAATACAATTGTCATTTTCAATTAAAAGTACAAACAAGGGGCCAGGTGTTACACACAGACACAGGACAGTGCCCACAGTCTATAACACTGTCCAATTGCAGAGGTGATGAGGAACTATCACCCGTTGCAGTGTGGTCCATTGGATCCACTTTTGTATTTCCAAAACACATCAAAGGTTACACGGTACAATAATAGCTCATGTTATGGGGAGGATCATGCTTTCATGAAGGGAGGATGGATCCACAACAGCAGAGACCGCGCATAAATGACTCATTTTTAGGCTGTGATTAGTGAAGGTTTCCTTTCATTTGTTCATGGATATTGGGTATCACTGGCTAGGCAGCACTTATTGGCCCACACCAAAGTGCTCAGAGGGGAGATATGAGTTAATTATTTTAAACTGTGCTTCTGGAGTCACATTAGGTCAGACAGGGTGAGAATCAAAAAGATTGTCGCAGGTTTACTGCTGAAGTCTCAACTATTTACAATCTATATCAACGAGTATGCATGGTGGGGAAGATTGTCCTGCAGTCGGCATGATGGTAAGCATTCTGGGAAGGATGTCCTGCAGTCAGCGTCACAGTGAAGCATTCTGGGAAGATGCCCTGCATTCAGTATCTGATAATCCTTACGTTTGAGGAACTATGCATTGCACAGAAGGATTGCTTCTGTAGGTTAGGTTTTGGGAGTTTGCTTAGAGCCTGCCCAAACAAAATCAAAAACATTAATTATTTCCAAAACTTATATTTCAACAAATGCAACAACAAAGGATGATTTCAAATGTTCTGTGTTTCTCCAGGAAGTAATTCAATCATTCCTGTCTGAAAGGTCTCAGTCTTTTTCACGAGCCATTGGTGAACGTGTGTATCCCAGACATAATGACAGTCCAGGCTGCAGTTGGTCTTAACATGTCAGGACTATGAAGGGAAAATTTTCCATTATTCCCATTCCCCATACAGTCATACAGCACAGAAATAGACCCTTCAGTACAACTAGTCCATGCCAGACAGCCACAACCACATCCTCAGAATTATTACAATAAACACAGGGTTACTGCTCCAAGGCCATGCTGAGTGAAGGTTTATGTTTTATTTGTTCACTGCCCATCTCTAGTTGTCCCTTGAACTAACCGTCTTGTTGATGCTATTTCAAAGGGTTGTTTGGAGTTAATCACATTGCTGTGAGTCTGGAGTCACATGTAGACCAGCCCAGGTTTAACCAATAGGTTTCCCTCCCTGACAGATATGTTAATTAACTGAAAGGTTATTGATGACCATCAACCAGGCTGGGTTTTTAATTCCACCTCATTGGTTATTGTGTTCAGTCTCACAGTCAGTGGGTCAGGGGAGCTTTATGAGACATGGAGGACTCAATGAATGGCAGGACACAAGGAATCTCAGGGGTACTGAAGGATCTTGGAAAACTTATCCACAGATCCCTGAAGAGAGCACAACAGATTAATAAGGTCATTGCAAAGGCATATGGGGCATATGCTTTTATCAGTCGAGGCACGGATTATAAGAGCTGGCAGGTGAACAGGAATTTGGGTCAGGCCACAGCTGGAGTACTGTGTGCAGTTCTGGTTCCACAGTATTGGAAAGATGTGATTGCACTGGAGGGGGTGCAGAGGAGATTCACCAGGATATTGCCTGGGATGGAACAGTTTAGTTGTGAAGAGGGGCTGGGTAAGGTCGGTTTGTTTTCTTTGGAGCAGAGAAGGTCATGGGGAATGGCGGGGGTGGTGGTGTAATATCTGAGTGCGGTGTAGAAGATTAGGAGATAGATAAGGAGAATAGCAAAAGTCGATTCCCGAGGGAAGGTGAATTCAAAACTATGGGGCATATTTTAAAGTGAGAGGAGAGAGATTTAAAAGGGATCTGAAGGACAACTTTTTGACAAAGAGGGTGATTTGTATGTGGAATGAACTGCCAGATGAAGTGATATGTGCAGGTACAGTTACAACATGATTCTATGATTCTACATGACGATCATATCAGCACTGCTTCACAGCCTGTGACCTGAGAGTAGAAAGATCTCAGACTCCATCTTGCATCAGACCACATGAAGCATGAGACACTACTGGAAATAATCCTGCTCTGTGTAACCCAATCGCTAAGGTTAGCCCAAAGTCAGAAGTCACATGACATCAGGTTATAGTCCAACAGGTATATCAAATGACAAAGGGGCTTTGCTCCACAAACTTGTGATTTTAAATAAACCTGTTGGACTATAACCTGAGATAACAAGGTGTAGAGCTGGATGAACACAGCAGGCCAAGCAGCATCAGAGGAGCAGGAAAGCTGACGTTTCGAGTCTGGACCCTTCTTCTGTGCGGTGGCACAGTGGATAGCACTGCTGCCTCACAGCGCCAGGGACCCGGGTTTGATTCCAGCCTCAGGCAACTGTCTGTGTGGAGTTTGCACATTCTCCCTGTGTCTGCGTGGGTTTCCTCCAGATGCTCTGGTTTCCTCCCATAGTCCAAAGATGTGCAGGTTAGGTGGATTAGCCATGCTAAATTGCCCATAGTGCTCAGGGAGGTGTAGATTAGGTGGGTTATAGGGGGATGGGTCTGGGTGGGATGCTCTGAGGTTCGGTGTGGACTTGTTGGGCCGAAGGGCCTGTTTCCACACCGTAGGGTTTCTATGATTCTTTGATGCTGCTTGGCCTGCTGTGTTCATCCAGCTCTACACCTTGTTATCTCAGATTCTCCAGCATCTGCAGTTCCTACTGTCTCTGAATGGACTATAACCTGGTTATGTGAGGCTTCTGACTTTGTCCAGCCCCTCCACATAATGTTAGCCCAGATGCTGACATACCTGAGGAAGGTCATGTTTGTATATAATGGGAGCCTCCTCCATTTCTTAAGTAGTTGTACATAGTGGTAGCTTTTAGACTCATTAGTAACACAATCCCCATACCCAGATTCTCATGTTATAGGAGGTAGCATAAACATTGCTGCATCAGGTAAAATACCCTGTTGGAAGCAAAATTTGAAGCATACCTTTAAGCTCACTGTAAGTAGAACAGTCCTGTAGCTGCAATGTCTAACAGGGAAAAGAGAAATGTTAAAAGCTGTGATGTATAACATGGACACAATGATAGTTTATGTAGAATTATTTCACATTCTAACTGTATTTACTGCTTATGGGCAAAAGGGATTTCGCTCACTGGAACCAGATCCATGTTAACAGCTTACTTCATTCATGAGTGTTAGCTCAGCAGAAAAACATTTGCTTTTCAGGCTGGAGATTTTGGATTGAAAGCCGAGTCCCGAGATTTGATCATACCATCCAGGCTGGTCCCTCAGTGCAGGACAGAAGCAGTGCAGCAGTGTCAGCAGGACAGGCTTTTCAATCAGATATCAAACTGAAGCCCGGTCTTCTTGATCAGCTGGACAGATGATCTTTTTAGAAGAAATTTCTTTCCTCAAAGGGTAGTTAACCTTTGGAATTCTCTCCACAAAAGAGTTGACAAGAACATTTCAGGTTGAAATGGACAGATCCCTGGACTCTCCAAGAATTTCCCGGAAATGAGGAACAAGTGGGAAAGTGGAATTGGGTTAGATTATCCACCAGAGTTTTATTGAATAGTGAAGCAGCTTGGAGGAGCTGTCGGCTTTACACTTGCTCCTATTTCTTATGTTCTCATATTCCAAAGCAGCATTGTTATCCCAGTGACCTTGCTGCGTTTAAGTTGGTTCCTCTCTTTCTGATAACAGTGACCTCACTTCAAAAGCACTTCACTCAGTGTGAAGGCTCCCAGACCGTGCTGAGGTTGTGAGAGGACTGATATAAATGGAAAATGCTCTTTCTTTCTGAGAATTGTGGAATGCAGTGATGACCCCAACTGGCTCCTGTGGTCGGCACTGACTGAGGAGTCCAGAGGATTGGGCATGAGGGAGGATGGGATAGCAGTGTAGCCTAATGGCAAATGATGAAACTTGAAATTGAGAGGTCCAGGAGGGGCTCAGGGGGTGGTGGTCTGAACCTGGGATTGGAAAAGAATGAAGATTGGAAAGAATGAAGAGAGTGGAGACAGTAATGAGACCTGAACAGAAAGATCCCAGTAATCGAGTTGGGAATTCAGCATGGTGGACAATCTTCTTCACCAGTTACTGAACCCATTCCCACTGGTGGTGATTGGTGATTGGAAATGTCAGTTCGATGATGGGACAACGGAAACTCAGAAAGAGGACTCATTGGAAATAGCATGAATTTTGTAAAACCCAGATGGTAATTGCAGTGCGAGATATTTACCATGTATGTGGTATCTGCTGGAGAATCTTTCACATTCTGTAATAAGATGGAAACAATGATCAATAATCATCATGAGATAAGAGATGACAGAATGCTGATTAGACAGAGTCAGGAATTATTGTCTTGAAACATTTCTATTTTCATGAAAGTGGCTGATTTACCAACTAGTTTCTGAATCATAACTGTGGGCAGCTGACGGTACAGCCGAGTGGAAGAGGAATAGGGTTCCCAGAGAGAAGCAGATCCCAGAGAGAAAATCAGGAACAAAACAAGGAATATTTAGAACTGAACATCCCAGTCAGACTGAGCCCTCATGTTGAATTACACAAGGCAAACTTGACCAGTTCATCTCATTTGCCAATTTGAGTGTTTTTTCCCTGTTGAAGGATCAATCAGTGGCCACCATGAGGGCAAATTGGAGATGAGCCATAAAAATTGAAAGAACTGTGGATGCTGTAATTCAGGGACAAAAGCAGAAGTTGCTGAAAGCTCAGCAGATCTGGCAGCATTTGTGAAGAAAACATCAGAGTTAATGTTTCAGGCCCGGTGACACTTTCTCAGAACTGAAGATGAACCATGCTAAGCTGCTATCCAATAGCCCCTAATGAGTGTGTGTGAGATTATGTAGAGTTCTGGGATCAGTTCTCCTGGTCTCTCCCTATGCCAGGGGGTAACAAACTAGAGATATGAACTGTCAGGGAATGAAAATGTATTTTTTTGTAATTTTTGATTGTGGATTGAAATTGGAAATTAACTGTTCTACAAACCAAGGACTGTTGAGGAGTTGCTGCATTTTTTGAAATCAAGTTACCTGACCTTCCGCTTAAGTACTGTTAACACAGCTGCCTGTTGGGGCAGTAGTGAGAGAGGGTTTATAGAGCAGATGGAGTTGGAGGGTGCAGACGGGACTAGGGGGACAGAGAGATAGGATGGGGCAGGAGGGTATGTAAAAATGGCATTCTAACCAGCTAATCCCTCACCAGGATATTGTCTTCCCTCCAATTCAGGTGCAACCTGTCTTCATATACAGGTCACTTCTACCCTAGATGGACCGAGATGGGTCAGAGGGAGTGGGTGAGTAATTGAAGGTATGTAAAAATGGAAATGAAACCAGCAACACGTCGTTGATTCGTCTGTGAACCCATGACCAGTTATTGATAATAGAGGCCTCCTGCCTCTATGTGAGTGGTTCAAAGGGAACTGAACAACTTTAGGAGTGTGAACAAGATATAGTGAAGCTAACAGATCTCCACCAGCACAGGAGCTGTCTCTCTGTTCTCCGTAGGGAGAAGCACTTTAAGCCTGAAGAAAGCCAGCTGATTTCTTCTTCAGCAGTTCCTGTAAACTGCAACTTTTAATGAATCAGTCAGAGAGCTGCTATAAGTGTGAATCAGACCCCTGTGCCTCCTATAAACAAGTGAAAGCATCTAGAGAAGGACAATTGAGAACCAGTGTCAGAGTAGCACAAGAATCATCTCAGAAAACCCTACAGACAGGGCATTCTGAACCTCTTCCCAGTCTTTCCTGCTGTCCCTAATACCCATGCTTTGTCTGTGTATGTGAGACTGTATATGGGAAAGGGGGGGTTTATGAGAGGGTACAAGTTTTAACTGGGAAGAGTTATATGTAAATAGCTCATCTTTGTTTCCTTGTAACTAGATTCTATTTCTTTGTAATAAACAAGAACTCTTGTTAAGGAGAGAAATGTGGTCTCTGCTTTCTGTCAACCTGGGTCTGAAAGACAGGGAAACAGGGGATTATAAAACCAAAAAAATTTGTGACAACTCCAGAAACAGCTGGGCTCAATTTTCAGGTCTTACCCCAGTGAGGTGTAACAAGGGGCTTAAGATGAAAGGTTGACTGCGCAAGAGAAACTGATTTAAAATCATAAATTGACAATGACACCAGCTCCTCCGCTGGCCTGTTTCCTGTTCCAGGAACATGTACAGTAAAAGAAACTGAAGCTCACCTTTCTGTGTCCTGTTGAAGGAGGGATTCCGTAAGCTCCAGGTAGATGCTGATCACCAGTTGCTGTCAATGAGTCTGTGAGACAAATAATTAAATGTCATGACCAGGCAGCTGGTATACTGTTTAAGAATCTTTCCCGATAAAGACCACATTATTCTGATCAAATTTGTCATGCGGTGTCCTCAGCTGGGATCAGAATACTTTCTGCAATGAATATAAATCCCTGATCTCAGATTATTGTCACAAATGTGACAAATAATATCTTTTCCCTATTCACTAAATCAAAACCTCTCATCACCTTGAAAACTCCATTTGATCCCCTGTAAACATTCGTTGATTTGAGGAATGGTTCTGAAAAGGTTTGTCTCTGTCGGCTGGTGGACTACAGGATGCTGTTTCTGTGTCTGAAGGTCCATCTATTTTCGGATCTACTTGTTGCGGCATTGCCATCCTGAGGGGCAGTTACAAGCTGTAGCTAAAACCCCAGGAGAATCCTATCACCTTCCTTCTGTTGGTTGTGGGTTCACCACCTTTCGTGGTCAGTTGTGTTCATCAGACAAATGACCTGCTCTAACCATTAGCTTATTAATCACAGCAGGAATCTAACTGTGTAAAAGGGATATTTGGAACAGCAAGTAATTCCTGCTAAATGTTGCGATAATGATTAAATTAGTTTGCTTACCATTTACTGTTTCATACACAGCATTCTGGTCCTCACCAGGGCTCCTAAATAAATTCCACACATTGCAATTATTGCACATTTACGACAGAACAATGCCATAACTTTCACAGCCTCAGTGCTCATGGAGTTAACATTTTGAACCACGGACTTCTGAGACCAGCTTAAAGACAATAGGATGATCTTGAAACTTGGATCATTTGCTAAAAGGAGCAGAATTTGTGCAAACAACAAAAAAAAGAATTTGACCAAAACCAGAGGGTATGCTGTGAAATTAGACCAAGTTGTAGTTGTATCTGACTGTGGAAGGGAGAGATTGCTTTAAGAAATTTGCTGCACTTTCAGCTGGTTGAGTCTGAGAAAATACTGAGGGAGAGAACGGCATTAACTCACTGGGATGCTGTGCAGAATAAACAAATACCAACACAAAGAAAGACTTCAGTTTGTCTTTATATCATTGGAAGGACTCAGACTGCAGGGCTATGATCAAAGTAAGAAAAACCCTTTAAAGGGACAATCAACAAGATGGAAACAGGCCATTGAGGGGGTGAAGAATGAGGGATCATGGATACAACCTACAACAGAAAATATCAAATCCAGAGTCTCAGTAAATCCCTTCACCCAGAGGGTGGGGAGGCTCTGGGATTCACTCCAGACTAATGGCAGGTGTAGAATCAATGTTAATATTCAGGATTTGATTGGAGAGGGGTGGAAGGATAAAGGGGACTGAATCGATGGGGGCACAGGGCAGGGAAATGTGATTTGGGTTTTCTGCTGATGTGGAAATGAAAGACCAGCACAGGCTGTTGGGCCGAATGGAGTGTCAGACCAAACTGAAGTCTGGCACTCCCTTGGCCTTCCCAGCCGGAAGTGCTGTGTTGCCAGTGACCCACCGGCACTAAGGCAAACCCTGACACTGGGCTCGGTGGGTAATGATCCGGTACCTACTGGGGATCCTGCAGGTGATGTCTATTGCTTGATCCATTCAAAGCTTTCTGACTGTGACCAGCAGGAGCCTGCGGCCTGGCACTGGAGCACATGTGATACCAGAGAAGGAGCAAACCGGCAATGATTATGCATCTGGATGTGTGGGATGGTCTCGACAGTCACTGATCCACCATTTACAATGGATCTGTACAGTGCAGTGGGAATATCAGCACTCACTAAAAACAATCACCCCAAAGTCAAAAACAATAACTGTGCAGTAATAGAATCAAACCCAAGATGAAATGGGATTTACCCTTGTGTGGAGTCCTTTACTGAGGAGCACAGCTTTTGTTTCCGAAGGAAAACTATGAGCAGGACAAGGCAGATCAAGACAGCTAAGCCCAGAATGGTGCCAATGATTAAAATGGGATCCGAAGTCTGGGGAATACCATGGGAAGGTTCTTCTGTAAAATATGAGAATGGTACACACAAGAGTCATTTCAATGTGAGCAATGTCCAAGATTATCAATAACATTAATTTTGGGTTCCTCAGGATAGTAACTCCCCTCCTGACTCCCTAAAGCCTGTCGAATACCGACAAGGCACAAGTCAGGAGTGTGTGATGGAATATTCCCCACTTGCCTGGACGGATGCAGTTCCGACACCACTCAAGAAGCTCAACAACATCCAGGAGAATGTAGCTCACGCAATTAGTACCACACCCACAAGCATCCACTCCCTCCACTACCGATGTCCTACTGTGTCCTATCTACAAGATACACTGCAATGTAGCCCAATTTATTGGCACCAAAGCCATAAACGTTCACTCCCTCCGCCACCAATACTCAGTAGCAGCAGTGTATACAATCTACAAGATGCAGTGCAGAAATTCACCAAAGGTCATCAGACAGCACCTTCCAAACAAACAACCTCCTCCATATAGAAGGACAAGGGCAGCAGAGAGATGAGAACACCCTCCTGAAAGTTCCCTGCCAAGACATTCCCCATCCTCACTTGGAAATATATCATCATTCTTTCATTGTTACGGGTCAAAATCCTTGATTTCCCTCCCTAAGGACATTGTGGATCAAGCAACAGCACATGGACTGCAGCGGTTCAAGAAGGCAGCTCACCACCACCTTCTCAAGGGGTAACTAGGGTGGGCAATAAATGCCCACATGACACAAGTGAATCGATTTTTAAAAAAAAAATCCAGTGAGTTTGAGAAACTGGTTGATTCTGTTCCGAGGTGAAATATTTCCAGAAGATGAATTCCACAATCTCATGTTCTGAGGGAGGAGTCACAGCTCCATGGAAAATAGGTCAGAGATATGCTGACAACACAACCCCATGTCTCCAGTCCTGTCTCTTCTTTGCTGTGTGTACAGTTACTGAGTTCACTGTTCTGATGCTGTTTTGTATAAAACGAACTCTCATATACTTATCGCTTACTGTCAGCTGGGTTCTATTCCCATTGATATCTCCCCACACTTTACAGTAATAGACCCCAATGTCACTGGGCTGCACATTTGTGTTGGTCAGAATGAAGCTGTTATTGGAGGGGTCTCTGGAAGACTGGAATCACTCAGTGAATCCTGGGCTCCATTGTGTGATGTTCCTCACGTCATGTGCTGAAACAAACTTCGCGTTGCTCCCCGGTTGCTCCCAGTACCAGTGAACATTGGTGTGTGTCACTGCAGCATTCCTCATGGTGCACTGTAACCGGGCAGTGTGACCCTCAGTGACACTTTCCAGGCTCGGAGATTGGAGAAGGACTGGGGTATTTGCAACGTTAAGGCAAGAACATAAACAATGTACAAACTAGACTGCAATCTGAAAATTGTCCTCAATATTTCAGTTGAAAAGTCAGTCAGCATGCATTATCTTGTCATGAATGCACAGAAATAAAACTAAACAATTTAAAAGAAAACTAATCTGTCTTTAAAATGCAAATGCAGAATCTTACAAAATGGCTCCCATAAGTCACATGACTTCCTTTACCGATTCACCTGCAATTGGAATCTCTCTGTAATTATCTGAGGAAAAACGACAAGAATAGTTTTGAAAGTCAGTGAACTTTCTGAAAGGTAAACAGAAACTCATTGGCAGTACCATCCCTAAAGGTCTGACTATCTCTTCCTGTATCATCAAAAACCTGAAAGTATGTGAGGTATAAACAGGGAATGCTGGAGAAACTCAGCAGGTCTGGCTGTGCCTGTGGAGAGAGAAACAGAGTTCACGTTCACAACTAACTCAGCTCAATGCCGGGAGCTGTCCTCACAGCTACCTCCTGGGATGTCCACATAACATGGCTGCTCCCAGCCAGATGCTTATACAGTTCACATTTCAAAAAAATACCTGCACCCAAAGCATCAAACCATGTCAGGTATTGTGTTATCCCCTGTCTGGAGCACAGATCCTGCATTGTCCTGGAGCTAAGGAAATTAACTTTTTAACTGTCTCAGCCTTTAGAAGCAGAGAACCCTTGTAGTATGGAAGGAGGCCATTCAGCCCACCAAGTGTACACCGACCCTCCAAAGAGCATCCAACCCAGACCTACCCCCTACCCAATTCCTGTGAACTTGCATTTTCCATGGCTAATCCAACTATCCTGCATATCCCTGGACACTATGGGCAATTTGGCATGACCATTACACCTAACCTGCACATCTTTTACTGTGGGAGGAAACTGGAGTATCTGAAGAAAGGCCATGCAGACATGGACACAATGTGCAAACTCCACACAAACAGTCCGCTCGAGAGTAGAATCGAAACGGGTCCATGCGGCAGTGGGGTAGCAATGCTAGACAACATGCCACCAATAGGTGCATGGGCTCTTAATCATGTTGGTAAAAGCAAAATACCATGGATTTCCAGAAATCTGAAATCAAACAGAAAGTTCTGGAGAAATTCAACAAGACTGGCAGCATCAGTGGGCAGAGATTCAGAGTTGACGTTTCAAGACCAAATTTTTCTTCATAACGGATTTGAAGAAGGATTATAAAAAAAAACAAACAGTGGCGACAAGAACAGGTGAAAGGCTGGGGAGCTTCCAAGGAAAATCTCACCTCCTAACTTCCCCAAGCCTGTCCACTATCCACAAGGATCACGTCATGGGTACGATGGAAAACATTGTATTTACTCGGATGAATAGGCTTTTAATATCACTCAAGAAGTTGAACAGCATCCAAGACAACACAGCTCACTTCTTCATAATCCCATCCACCACCTTAAGTGTCCACTCGCTCCACCACCAACACTCTGTCTCAGCAGTGCGTACTATCTATAAGGTGCACTGCACAAATTCACCATGGTTCCTGAGACAGGACCTTCCAAATCCACATCCACTTCCATCTAGAAGGACAAGGGCAGCAAATACATGGGAAGCCACCACCCTCTGCAAGTTCCCCTCCAAGCCACTCATCATCCCGACTTGGAAATATATCATTGTTCTTCTGTGTTGCTGGGTCAAAATCCTGGAATTCCTTCCCTAGGGGCATTGTGGTCTATCAACATCACATGGACTGCAGTGGTTCAACAAGGCAACTCACTACTGCCTGCTCAAGGGGCAACGAGAGACAGGCAATAAATGCTGGCCCAGCAAGTGATGCCCATGTCTCATGACTGAATTAAAGCAGACATCAGATTCACTAATATCTTTGATGGACAGCAATCTGTAATCTTTTGTCTGACCAGTATATAAATCCAGAATTGTGGCCAGCTCCAAACTGCCCTCTGAAACAGGTGAGCAACATTCTCATCATATCAAAGCTTTAAACCTGTAGATTCAGAGAGGCAGATCACAGCCATGAACTGAACGGTAATGAGAGAGGAGCAATAAACGCTGGTCTAGACCTGTCACACCCACATCCTATAGATGATAGAAAAAGCATCGACTCATTCTCATATTTCCACGATTCAACCCTTCCATTTTATCTCTGGAACCAACGTACCCACTGTCCATTTCATGCCCCGATATGAAGCATGTTGGATGAAATTACAAGATTCCTTCTGTCTGCTCTACTGTGTGAAGGTAAAACAGTTCCCAGTCAGATCTGTGAGGCTACCAGCATTCTCTGCCATTGCCCTACCAGTTACATTGAGCTGGCTCCCTGCTCCACAGATGTAGCTCCACACACTGCAGTGGTACACAGCACTATCATTGAGAGTCACATTCACAAGGCTCAGAATGTAACTGTTCCTGCTGACATTCCTGAAAACATGAACATGGTCGTGGAAACCCTGGGCCTTGCTGAGGGTGCCATTCACAAACTGGCTTATCACCCACTCCGTGTTGCTGCCAGGTCGCTGGTAGTGCCAGTGTACATCAGTGTCAATCACACTGGCATTGTACATGGCACACTGGAACTCAACAGTTTCACCCTCTGGTATTTTGCTGACCATTGGATACTGAATGAGGACTGGATCAGCCAATGGATCTGTGTGTGAAAAACGGCTGGAGATTTACACAAAGAAATATAATACTCCGCCTTTCAAATCTGAGTAAAATCTAAAAAGGTTAATGATCACCTGCTGTTTAATGCACTATTTTCTAAGGTCAGGGACCGGAAACATACAACAGAGTGCACTCTGTCAGCTGAGGTTTATTGGGAGTACTCTGTCTCTGAGGTGGAAGGTGATGGGATTCCCATCCCCTCCTGAGGTTTGAGCAGACATTGGGACCATCCAGAGCAGCACAGAGGCATTGAGTTTGGAACAGCCAGCACCGGACTGAGGTATTAAAACAAGTCTGTCCTTACAGGAGGATGTGAAAAATTCCCAGGGCATCATTCAAGCATCAAAAGAAGAGTTCAGCCAGTGTTCAGGGATGGGACTATTCATTACAATGCTGTTTGTTGGATCTTTCTGTGTATTTTCTCCACTCTTGACTAAAATGTACCTCATTGGCTGTAATTATGCTGGGACCCTCTGAGGTTGTGAAAGGTGTTACTGAATAAACAATCTAATTCTTCCATCGTTTCATGCTGCTGCAACAAAATGACATTGAAAAATTGGGATAAGACATCTCCAAATCTGGGAATAATTTGCAAAGGAGTTGCATTGTAGTGATGCAAGGCGTGTGTATGGAGAGCTGGAACTGTATGGTGTCCCATCCGCAGGGATAATCGGACTGAACAGGAGACTCAGAGCGATGTTTCACACTGCTCACAGGGAGAGGGGACAAGGACCAGGTTTGTAAAGATACATAAAAGAAAATTGCTGTGGGTGATGGAAAACTGAGATAAAAACAGAAAGTGATGGAAAAACCTAATACATCTGGCAGTATGTGTGGAGAAAAAAAACAGTTAATGTTTTGGATTCTGAACAAGTCAATTTGGGCTTGAAACATTAACTTTGTGGGGTGGCATGGTGGCTCAGTGGTTAGTACTGCTGCCTCACAGCACCACAGACCTGGGTTCAATTCAAGCCTCAGGCAACTGTCTGTGTGGAGTTTGCACATTCTCCCCGTGTCTGCTTGGGTTTCGTCTGGGTGCTCCAGTTTCCTCCCACAGTCCAAAGATATATAGGATAGGTGGATTGGCTGTGCTAAATTGCCCATTGTGCCCAGGGATGGTTAGGTGGGTTGGACATGGGAAATCAGAGGTGGGATAATGGGCCTGGGTGGGATGCTCTTTGGAGGGGCAGTGTGGACTTGTTGGGCCAAATGGCCTGTTTCCACACTGTAGGGATTCTATCATTTGTTTCTGTCTCTGCAGATGTTACCAAACCTGCTGAGTTTCTCCAGCAATTTCTGTTTTTATTATAAATATTTGTCATTGACTTGGGTATAGGAGGTATAATTTCTAAGTTTACAGATGACTCAGAAATGTCATAAAGGACAGAATAATAGCAAACTATCCAGAACAAAGCAGCCCATTCAATTGCCACCACATCCACACTCTCCACCACCAACACTCAGTAGCAGCAGTGTGTACCATCTACAAGATACACTGCAGAAATTCACCAAGGCTCCTGATGCAACATCCTCCAAACCCATGAACACATCCATCTGGAAGGATAAGGGCAGCAGATAAATGGGAACACCACCTCTTGCAAGTTCCTCTCCAAGCCAGTCACCACCCTGACTTGGAAATATATTGTTGTTCCTTCACTGTCGCTGGATCAAAACCCTGGAATTCCCTCTCTAAGGGCATTGTGGGTCAACCCACAGCACCTGGACAGCAGCTGTTCAAGAAGGCAGCTCAACACTATCCTCTCAAGGGGCAACTAGGGATGGGCAATAAATGGCCACCTGCCAATGTGAATTATTCTTTTTAAGTATTTCCATTGAGTTTGAGAAGCTGATCAATTCTGTCCTGAGGTGAAATTGTTACAGAAGATGAATTCCACAATGTCATACTCCGAGGGAGAAGTAACAGCTCCATGGAATATGGAGCAGAAATATGCTGACAACATCAAAACCCCAAGTCTCCAGTCCTGGCTCCTCTCTACGGGGAGTGTAAAGATGATGATTTCACCATTTTGATGCTGTTTTGCATAAAACAAATTCTCATATACCTACCAGTTACAGTCAGCTGGGTTCCATTCCCACTGATATCTCCCCACACTTTACAGTAGTAGACCCCAGTTTCACTGGGCTGCACGTTTGTGATGGTCAGAATGAAGCTGTTACTGGAGGAGTCTCTGGAAGACTGGAATCGCTCAGTGAATCCTGGGCTCCATTGTCTGATGTTCCTCACGTCATGTGTTAAAACCCACTCCGTGTTATTCCCTGGTCGCTCCCGGTACCAGTGAACATCGGTGTGTGTCACTGCGGCGTTCCTCATGGTGCACTGTAACCGAGCAGTGTGACCCTCGGTGACACGTTCCAGGATCGGAGACTGGAGAAGGATTGGAGGGTTTGCAACTTTTAAGAGAAAATGTGTGAATGAATTAAAACTAGTCTGAAGCCTGTTAAACATCTCAAATGCTTAATGAGAAGCATAGCCATTCATGTTACTTTGGGTGAACTCCCAACCTGTTATCAATCATCTTGATCTGAAAATCTCATGATTACTTTAATTCAAAGATTAAGATCTGATGTTCAGCCATGTCCTCCTCATGCACAAACCTGTTGTGTCTCCCTTCCTGATCCCCAGTCACTGCAGAATCTTCCCAGTCTTCTCCCCACACCATCATCATATTTCCTAACGACTCAGTCCCCGTTTATTAATAGGGAGACAATGGCCTAGTGGTATTATCGCTGGACTGTTAATCCAGAGACCCAGGTAATGTTCTGGGGACCCAGATTCAAATCCTGCCATGGCAGATGGTGGAATTTGAACGTAATAAAAATTGACAGTCTAATGTTGACCATGAGTCCATTATCAATTGTCGGAAAAACCCATCTAGGTCACTAATGTCTATTAGGGAAAGGGAATCTGTCATATTTACCTGGTCTGGCTTACATGTGACTCCAGACCCATATGACCCATCTGTTCAATTAGGGATGGGCAAAAAATGCTGGCCAGCCAGTGATGCCCACATCCCATGAATGAATATAAAAAAATTCTTCTCCACACTCTCCCTTACTGTCTTTCATCCTATACGATACAGCTCACAGAAGCAAGAGTCTCTTCAAACCCACTATCATCAAAACCCTCCTCAAACAAGTCAGTCAAGTGACTGAGAAAACTGGAGGTTGGCTAATGTGGCGCCATTATTTAAGAAAGGTGATAACAAAACGTTAGGGAATGATAGACCAGTGAGCCTAAAGTCAGTCCGGGGTAAGTTGTTGAAAGGGATTCTGAGGCACAGGATTTACATGCATTCAGAAAAGCAAGGACTGATTAGAGATAGTCAAGAGTCTTTGTGTGTGGAAAATTGTGTCCCACTAAAAACTTGAGTTGTTTGAGGTGGTGAGAAAGAAGACTGATGAAGACAGAATGGTAGACATTGTCAATGTGGGCTTCAGCAAGGCATTGGACAAGGTTCTGCATGGTATCCTGGTAAGCAAGGTTCGCTTGGGGTCCAGGGGCACCTAGCCAACTGGATACAAAATTATCTTGAAGGTAGGAGACAGAAGGTGGTGAGGAAGCCTGTGACGCAAGGATCTATGGTGGGTCTATTGCTTTTTGTCATCTGTAAGAATGATTTAAGTGTGAATGTAGGAGGTATGGTCAGCAAGTTTGCAGATGACACAAATTTTTTTGGTGACATAATTGACAATGAAGAAGGTTATCTCGGAGTGCAATTGGGCCTTGATCAGGTGGGCCAATGGGCCAAGGAGTGGCAGATGGAGTTTAATTGCGATAAATGTAAGGTGTGCATTTTGGTATGGCAAAGCAGTGCAGGACACAGAACATAGAACACAGAACATAGAACATTACAGCGCAGTACAGGCCCTTCGGCCCTCAATGTTGCGCCGACCTGTGAAACCAATCTGAAGCCCATCTAACCTAAACTATTCCATTATCATCCATATGTTTATCCAATGACCATTTAAATGCCCTTAAAGTGGGCGAGTCTACTATTTTTGCAGGCAGGACATTCCACGCCCTTACTACTCTCTGAGTAAAGAACCTACCTCTGACATCTGTCGTATATCTATCACCCTTCAATTTAAAGCTATGTCCCCTCGTGCTAGCCATCACCATCTGAGGAAAAAGGCTCCCACTGTCCACCCTATCTAATCATCTGATCATCTTGTATGTCTCTATCAAATCACCTCTTAACCTTCTTCTCTCTAACGAAAACAGCCTCAAGACCCTCAGCCTTTCCACATAAGACCTTCCCTCCATACCAGGCAACATCCTGGTAAATCTCCTC